CGTCTTGGTAGTGGTCGATGTGGACTCGTATTTACACTGTGCCCTGAATAAGTATAGGAGATGAGATAAGGCACGGGTAAAAATGAGAGGAGGGTAGGTCCAACCCTGAGGAAGTCTACACAGTCGCCAGAGAAAGGAGTCGCCAAGAGAATTAAGATTGCCAGTGTCGTCCATGACAGTGCATGTAGTACGGAAACAGAATAGAGACCGAACGCGCTCGGGAATGGAGATGCTGTAGAAGGCATCGCTCAGGTCCAGGCGACCGTAGAAGGTAGTGGCAAAACTCGGCCAATTGTTGAGAATATCGATAGGTCCTTGTTGATGTTGGTTCGGACTTTCTAGGTCAGCTTTCGGCATACCAGATGATACTGAGCGTGGTACCCATTGGAAGTTGTTACCGGCGACGGTGAGTTGTAGATTGTTAACCGGGCGAGCATCCACAGTCACCCTATATCTCTTCTTGAGATCTGCATCTGGTAGGTGGTAAGGTCGTGGCGGTTTGGGGCCATTACCTGTGGCCAGCTTATCCACCAGAACTGTCTCCAAAATGATGATGGCGTCGGCAGCCGAAATAAGTTCCACTTTCCCTTCTCGATACATTTGTAGAACTCTGGAGTGTAGAATAGCAGACTCCAAGACTGATCGGGGCCGCATTTTCTCACTGAAGGGAATGACCTTAGCTGTTTCGAAGCATGGAGCACGAACGCAGAGCCTCCTAGCGCCATTGTCTTCACGGGTGGTGTAGAAGGAGATGTCGGTGGCCCACCGTTACTGCCTCAATACAATGACAATGAACTTATCGTACGCAAGTACATAGCTACTCGGAAGCGCTCGCCCTTCATTGTCCCATGAGAGCCCTCATCACACCTTCCTACAACACGCCCCCCTGGTGAGGGCACAGTCTTGTGGAGAATGTACTTCAAGCGGAACCAGGTTACAGTGGTTTTCGAGGGCCTTATGACCAGAAATAGACTTGACGCGATAGCGCCGACAATACTCATCCTTGGATGGTTCAGCACTCACAATGTGCCCAACCTGCACGCCAAGGTCACATTTATTCTTAGGAGAATAACGAATAAGAACAGCAGAGCCCGGAGAAAGAGGAAGTCGATGCTTTGCCGGCTGTTGACCTACTTGCTTAGCTGACCGATCTCGGAGCATCTGCCAGTGATGCTTAAGATAACAACGTCGCACATCTTGCACGGCTCTGGGGCGATCCACGTGCAAGTCGGGTAGCCTGGTGGAGTCGTTGGTCTGCAAGTGCGAGAGTAGTAGCCCGGTTCGGCGTGTATACCCCCATGCAAGGGAGTCGGCTGTGATAGGCTCAGCCGCCCCCGACTGGGCATCAGCGCTGTGTAGGCAGATAGGAGCCGTGTTCATTAGCAGAGTAACATGATCATAGATCTCGCACAAGTCGATATCGCTAGCCCGGGCGAGCTGATGAGGCGTATAGCAGGCTCTCATCGTACGCAAACCTACCCTATGGCTACGCTCAATAGACGTCTCCCAAGGCGCTCTAGCTGAGTGGAACTCTACCTTCACACCTATCTTACCCATCTCTTCTTCGAAGGTCCGGGCAACAAATGCCGTACCAGCATCACAGTAAACGACCATGACTCTGCCCCAACGATTCAATAACCAGCGAATGCCTTCAATTGCCGCTTGTGCACATTCTGCTGCATGTCTCACCGGTAGCCACCGACGGTGGGTGAGTCATAGTCGATGCGAGACGTGTCGGTAATGGTCCCCTTCTCAAAGGTTGTCGAACGTGTGGAAAGAGCAGAGTGGCACAGTACCGTATCGTGTGAGCTGCAGCTGGTGGGGTCCTTGTAAGCCCATGACGGAATGGTTGCTCGTACACCCAAAGTGGCCATACCAGGACGACCGACGATAATTGATGGCTTCGTATCCTTCACCATCAGACAATGTAGCCAGACCATTGAGGGAGCTTCATCGTTCAGGGAGCTATGAAAGGAAAAACGTATGGGTAACTTGATGGCTCGGGTACAGATTGCCGTCTGTCCATTGCCATAGGTGATCTTGATGGGATTGAGCGTTCGAAGGAGATGAGCGTCGATAAGGTTGCGTCGTAGCGCGAACTTGACGACAGCGGTCGACACGAAGTTAGCACCAGCGCCGCTGTCGAGCAAACCGTCGATATGGCAGCACGGCGAGGGCTCGTTAGGGGACGCTCCCTCGGGTCGTTGCCCGATAGTAAGTCGGACTCGCCAGGGTTTGTTGTCGATGATATCGCTCAGAAGTAGGCCTTGGGAGGAGCCGTCGATGGAGCCTACGCCGGTGGACATCGAGTAGGCCATAGGTTCGATCTCCATGACCTCGTTGACAACTTCCAGGTGGGGATCTTCGTCTTCCGTTGTTGCCATGGCCATAGGTGTTGCCGGTGTAGGGTTGCAGTTCGGACTTAAGCATATGGATGCTGTATGACCAGTAGCGCCACAACGCTTGCAAGGCGCTGATGAACCCTTCTTAGGACATTTCTCTCGACGATGTTCACGTGACCCACATGACCGACAGCGAACCTGCGAGTCGATAGGGCGTAGGGCCCGACATAGACGGGCCATATGACCATCTTTGCCACAACGGTAACATTGGCCACGGCGTCGAGAGGACGTCGGCATCGCCATAAGTTGTACCCGGATGCTGCTCTGAATCTTACGATCAGGCGGTGTAGTGGGCGATGGTGCTGGAAAGACGTTCGGAAAGGGATTATTGGCCGTGTTGAAGGTGTTGCTCTCGAAGCCGGTAGCAAAATTGACGAGAGTGTCAATGTACTGTTTGTAGTCGAGGTGCGTCAGAGGATCGCAAAGGGCTCGGGCTGCCATACCCGCTCCAGAAGTGAGACCCTCAGCTACTTTCGTGATCAAAGTAGGCTCGTCAAGAGGGTCGTGGCGAAGATCGTGAAGCACCTTCTGTTGTTCAAACCGAGCAATGTAGTCTTTGACAGTCTCCTTGTCATCCTGCTTCAGACTCTGCCAGGCTCTCACAGCAGCTCGTCGAGCTTCTGGGGTCGCATACTGCTTGTACATAATATCGAGCAGCATATGGAAGCCCTGGTCGTCTGGAAGGGCGTAGATCTGGGCCGTAGCAGCCTTCTGTCTCATCATCGTTCTGGCCGCACCTGTGAGGTGGAGAAACACGAACTCGATTTTGGCTACGCCCGAGCAGAAAGGGGCCGTAAGAAGGATAGATTTAACACTGTCAATGAAGTGGATGAAGTCATCAGATGAACCGCTGAATGATTTTAAACCTGAAGTATCCGCGAGCTGTTTGGCCCTCCGGTGGCCACGATGATATTCGTCATCCACGTTGGACCTCGTTGTGGAAAAAGTCGTCGGGAGAGCCGAACGGCCGGAACCGTCAGGGGTAGATGCGACGCGGTTGTGATTGGCAGTACCGACTGGGGTTGCTGGAAGGGGGGTCACCGGATCCTTGGGAGGTAGCAAAGTTGTGCGGTAGACGTTGACGCATGTCGAGAGGTCATCACGGCATTTCTGCCTCCCTACAAGAGGGGCACCGGTGACCTTCGCAGCTGCGAAGAGAAACCCGCACCGTAGCGTTGGATACAGCCAAGTTCCTTGGTAAGGCTCGGCGGAGGTCGGATATGGGAATAGGAGATCCTCGGCAAGTGATTGTTGTAGGGCGTTCAAGTCACCCGCGAGGACCGTGAGAAATTCGTCGGCGTTAGTGGCAGCATCAATAAACTTCGGGTCATCCTTAAGGGCATCGTAGAGGGCGTTGCCAACCGGTTCGAGAGAACGAAAGTAGGCGGCATTAACTTCAGAGGCGATCTTGTCCTCGAGGGCGAGAACGGCTTTGATAAGGACGTCAGTTCTCGGCTCAGCCCCCAATGTTGTAGTTCCAGTTGAA